TTCACTACGGACAGAATTTTAGTCAATCTAATGGATAATTCTTTAGTGGAACATGCAAACTCGTGGTGGCGTCCGTAAAATTATTGAAGGGGTGATTTTAACTTCACCACTTCAGAATTCTTGTCTTAATAACTTTCTTGTGAGCAGCAACCCTCTACCAAAGAAATCATGATAGGAAATACAAGCCCTTGAATATTTATCAACTGGGAGATATATACTCCATATGTAGTAGCTGCTGAAATGTTGATACATAGAAATGGAAAGTACACAATTGGGAAGCTGAAATTATCTAAAGTGTTTAGTGGTTTGTTGTACTTGTTTTATTGTATGTTCTTTTATGTAAAAGAGCTAGTTATGCCTATACTCCAGTATGTCACCTCATTATTGTTTGTTTCATGTCTTTATTTGGAGAATTTGGTGAATCTGTTTTGTTGGCCATCTTTTTAGACTCGGGATGGTTTAGAACTTAACATATTGTATAGACATGAACGAGTAGTATAATATTGTATGTGACTGTGTATTGAATTTTTTTTATTGATTGCATGAACTATAAAATAACTGATGAAATAAGATATAAAGAGACTTATCCAAAACAGCTTTGACATTTTTTTTTTAAACCTTTAACAATGTAAAAATAAGGAGGTGTGGTACGATTGCCAATGAGACAACTATCCATCAAAGTTCAAATGAAGTTGATGTAAGCAATTATAGGCAACCGTACGGCATTCAACAATGAGGAAAACCCATACCGTATGATTGGCTATAAAAGGCCCCGACATGAAAAATATGAAACAATTCAATTGAGAAAACTAACGGCCTAATTTATAACAAACCAATTAACGAAAAACAAACATGACAGACATGAACCAACAACAACCACTGAACTACAGGCTCCTGACTTGGGACAGGCACATAAAAGAATGTGGCGCGGTTAAACATGTTTGTTACCGCTCAACCTTCCTCCTAACCTGGGACAGTGGTGTAACAGTACAACACAAGAACAAACTATAAAAATCAGTTGAAAAAGGCTTAACTCATCAGATGGATACAGATAGAAATACATCTAACAAAAACACAGAGTGGACGTGGACGGGTACTTGTACATCCCAAAAACGAAAAGACACCAAGTACAGATCTGAGACTACTCGCAGATACTGACAGCTTGTTCAAAGCCAATAACAACTACTGAAAAAAATCATGTATCTTAGACTAAAATACCAATCGGTACACATCCAACATCCAATAGATTTAGTGTAAAGATGTCATTAACATGTACAGTCAGAGAAAAACATGACATTGTGCAATGCCAAACAATAAGTATCGACAGATTGTAGTATAAAATTGAGAATGGAAATGGGGAATGTGTCAAAGAGACAACAACCCGACCATAGAACAGACAACAGCAGAAGGTCACCAACAGGTCTTCAATGCAGCGAGAAATTCCCGCACCCGGAGGCGTCCTTCAGCTGGCCCCTAAACAAATATATATACTAGTTCAGTGATAATGAACGCCATACTAAACTCCAAATTGTACACAAGAAACTAAAATTAAAAATAATACAAGACTAACAAAGGCTAGAGGCTCCTGACTTGGGACAGGCGCAAAAATGCGGCGGGGTTAAACATGTTTATGAGATCTCAACCCTCCCCCTATACCTCTAGCCAATGTAGAAAAGTAAACGCATAACAATACGCACATTAAAATTCAGTTCAAGAGAAGTCCGAGTTTGATGTCAGAAGATGTAACCAAAGAAAATAAACAAAATGACAATAATACATAAATAACAACAGACTACTAGCAGTTAACTGACATGCCAGCTCCAGACTTCAATTAAACTGATTGAAAGATTATGTCTTCATCATATGAATATCAGGCACAATCCTTCCCGTTAGGGGTTTAGTATCATACCATCATAACATATATGAGAAGAACATAACCCGTGTCATGCCAACAACTGGTTTTTAAATAAATGTGTTTAGTGCCGATGCAAAGACCCTATAAGTGAATCAATATTAACGCCAAAATATGCAATCTTTAATGACCTGATATTCAATAAATATCAACACATTTACACAACTGTAATATTCAATTTTCACACTATGTATATGTCTAAATGTCAGTGCTCTTAAGGCAATTTTCTACTTGCACGATGATGCAAACTTTTCTGAAATTAGTTCTAACAAAAACTTTTGATTTTTCAACCCTGTATACCACCATTCCCCATGTGAAATTGTAATTTTTGAAAATACTTTGAACGACAAAATTATTTTAGATTTCTTCCTACGTGACGTTTACATTTTCTAGCGTCAAACCCGCGACTCTACACTAAGAGTAGATGTGAATGCAGTCACAGGACTTTAAATATTTCAATCCTTTATGGGTTGATTTAAAATACATATATAAGTAAGCAATGAATGTGGTTGTTAAATTTGATAGATGCTTTCTGTGCTTCTTTGTTAAATGTTTGTTTGTTTTGAGATTGTGACACAGTGATGACTGCTGTACCCATATTTTGACAATGTTACCTATTATATTTTTTTGTTCAAACATCGTTGTAAATATAACGGAATTTGATGCGACTGTCATACAAGTGAGAGGTTTAGCGCTATAAAACCAGGCTCAATCCACCATTTTCTACATTTGAAAATGCCTGTACCAAGTCATGAATATGACAGTTGTTGTCCATTCGTTTGATGTGTTTTATCATTTGATTTTGCCATTTGATTAGGGACTTTTCGTTTTGAATTTTCCTCGGAGTTCAGTATTTTTGTGATTTTACTTTTTACACACTCGTATACAAAAGCCAGAATTGACACTGTTTAAAAATTAAGAAAAAATTATGAACTGAAAAATTATTTTTTACAATTGAGTTCGATAGAACCACAAAACCCCAAATCGTCTCACTTATTTTTCACGCGCCCCATGTTTCTGTGTGGATTTTTTTTATCAAGATCACGATCGGTAAACTTGGGCACCAAAACCTGGAATTTAAATAGCAACCATAGATTTCTATCAACAATCACCGAATGAAATATTTGTTCGAATTTGATTACACGTTATCGATTCGTCATAAATTAAAAAAAAAAAAAAATAAATAAACGTGCACAGAAGACTTTTTTTAGTATATATGCATGTTTAACCCCGCCGCATTTTTGCGCCTGTCCCAAGTCAGGAGCCTCTGGCCTTTGTTAGTCTTGTATGATTGTTAATTTTAGTTCATTTATATGTTTTGGAGTTTAGTATGACGTCCATTATCACTGAACTAGTACACATTTTTGTTTAGGGGACAGCTGAAGCCCGCCTTCGGGTGCGGGATTTTCTCGCTGTGTTGAAGACCCATTGGTGGCCTTCAGCTTGGTCGGGTTGTTGTCTCTTTGACACATTCCCCTTTCCATTCTCAATTTTATTTTATTAGTATTTCCTTAACATTATAATCACTAGAAACACGTTTCATGTAATAATATGATTTAAAAATGTGGAAAATTACTGAACAGACGATGAACACCAAGTGAGTATAAAAGCTCTAGGCTAGTTAAGCAAATCAAAGTTTTTTAACAAATAAAATTGGCACTTTCGTCTGTTTTAATACCCGGGCTATCTGAAATTAATCTTTGTTTTTAATTTGTTAAAAAGTAAAAGCTGTTAAATGTTTCTCGGATTTTCTAGGTACGCTGTATTCAATGAACAAATTACATATTCAAACATGGTTATAAAATACCAGTTTTTGACATTTTGATTGAGCGTAACAGGCTTGGATATTTTGTATGGATTTTGCTCATTGTTAAAGGCCGTTCATCTATATATGAAACGATGCACTATAATTGGCTTTAAGAAAATGCACTAAAATTTCGGTAATAGACTTACTGATGTTCGTCAGAAAAATAGGCTAAAATGTGTTATTGTCATTTGAATAATATTCTTAATTTATATTTATTTAGAGATGTCAGCGACCGCCGAGGGGAAATAACAGGAGATAATAATCCTCCCTGAAGTCTTGAGCATTAGCTGTTTTGAGTTAGGTCGCGTACCACACCATTGACAAAGCGTCATTCAGGAAGATGATGTGTGCAAAGGGAATACATAGTTTTATTTATCATTATAAAGGAAATACATAGTTGGTCATTAAGCTACATGTAAGATATTTCTTGTGCAGGTAACACAAAAAGTCTAGTTGTAGCGTTTTCTTAGTTTACTTAGGTACGTTAGAAAAGGATGTTTGGCAAATATTGCTTAACACAGCTTAAATATCTTTGAACCATTCAACTGCATATCAAAATATATAAATCAAAATCAGTAATATAAGTGTTACACGCATAAAAAACCGGACATAACCGATGTGTATTTCTTTTCAAAAGGCGAAAAAATTACTTCCCCTTTGGCTATATTTCGTGTTGTATATGAGAAATGTAAGTCATCATCAAAACTTGAAAATAAGATAAACAATTTTTACAAAAAAAAAACAATTAAGAACAGAACAAATATATTAAAATGTTTTATAAACTATCAGCTGCAACTCGTATTAGAAGATTTTTATGAAGATAATTGAATGGACATAAAAAAAGAAATGCATGACATTCATTTAGAACAATAACACTTAATGTTCATGTGGACTCTAAAGCTAAAATGGCTGTGTTTACAACACAAAATTTACCCAGAGTGCAGAGAAACATGTGCATTTGGAAAAATTTTAAGTCATAGCATGCCTTAGATATATAAAATTCAAAGGCATTTCATCTTTCAGGAAATAAAAAAACTGAACTGGATTTTGATGTCCATTTTTTTCATTTCTGCCAAAATAAACAAAGTTTGGAAATTTTTTTTGAGAACTTCCCTTTGTGTAATTATCAGGGTAAATCCTAATCATTGGCATGAATAATAGAGATCTGACAACAAAAGGTGATTCAAACAGTGTAACTGGGTGGATGGTATTATAAGTGAAACTCAGACGTTTGTTTATATCATCATCATTTGAAGGACTAAGAAAAAGTACACAGCAAAATTCGGTTAAATTTTTAATTTTCTGAAACACAAGTCAATATCATCATGACATTTGTGTAGTAAATCAACTTAATGACCTAATATGCTAATTTCATTCGCATTTCAGTAATTCATATTTTTAACTGATATGCCTAATTCATTGCATCCGAATGTCAAACGTTTAGTATTGCTGAATTATGTTATGTAATAATGATCCCATGTGATATCAAGAACAATATTTGATAAATAATGAATTTTAGAATAACATGTTTTCTTTACATAATAATGAAATAATATAATGAAATGTTAAACTTACTTCTTTTTACATTTGTTATAATTAAATGTATTCCCTTTGCGTCTCATTTCAGTGATACTTAATCTATAACACTATAATCTGGGTGAATTGAAATAACGGCATATGTGAAATAAAACGTTAATTGTTAAGAATAAATGATAAAGAATAAACTTTTTCTGACTATGCATTTTTATTACAATTCAGTATTAAGACTTTGTCTTATAAAATCATATACAAGACATCATCTGATATTGAACAATAATTAAACAATAAAAACAGCATCTATCTTCCAGTGACAAATTTTCGTATTTCCCAGTTTCCAGCCTAATAGGTGCCACCCTAAATCTAAATTTAACAAAAGCACTTATATCATTAAAAGCTTAGGCGTCGATAGTTTACAATAAATTTCAACAACACCCCGACTGGAAGAGGATGAGATAATAATACTTCTCTTGTCATCAATATATTAATTAAACAGTCATGCTATGATTTGGTTATAAAGATGAATATCGTGTCTGTGAAATCAAAACCAATAATTATAGTGTTTATACTTGATATGATTTTTAATACTTTTGTACGCTAAAAACACAGAAACCAGACGAGGGATTTGAATAAGTTGGCTAATAAAAGTATAATTCCATACAACCTAAGAATAACCTACTAAAATTATTGTCAAAAAGTAAAATCACAAAAATACTGAACTCCGAGGAAAATTCAATCGGAAAGTCCCTAATCATATGGCAAAATCAAATGACAAAACGCATCAAACGAATGGACAAGCATCCCCAATTATTTTTAAAAATTATTTTTAATATTTGTTTTGTATTTAAAAAATAATACGGCACTGTTCGCTCTATATTCATTTTTATGAATCTATTTTCTATCATCGGAATGTACTTTTTATAATTTTTATTTCTAAATCACAACTTTGAGACTGAAGTAGAATAATGGTTAGTGATAAATGATCTCATAAGCAAGCAATCTCTTTCTGGAAAATACCTCGAAGCGTATACCCTTTTTTTGCTACGTACTTATTGCTGATAAATATTGATTTTTTTTTCACAACATCGGGTTTGTTGAGAAAATATTTTCTTCACGTCTCCTCTGAATTGAACATTCATAAAACTATAGATGATCGGATTAACAGAATTATTGATGAAATATGATTTTAAACAGAATTTATAAAATACTTCTGCGGATTCAGACAATATATCCTCGAAATTTTTAACTATATTTCTTATTACCATTACTGTTAGAAAAGGAAGAAAGCTGAGAACAAATACCACGGTTACAATCCCTAGCATTAAAGTAGTTTTAGATGCATGAATTTTGCGTCTAGATTTAGTCTCTTCTAACTTTTGATGAACACAGTCTGTTTGAATTTTATTTCTTTGCTTTTCCTTGCCATTATTTTGATCCTTTTCGATATCTGAAAAAGAGGTCTCTCCTGACAGAGACTTCGGTTCCTTTGTTTTCTTTCGGGAGGAGTTTTGTGATATATTTCCCTTCTTCTTTTGTTTTCTGATAAATAATACGATTTTTGTGTATACTACTGTAAAAAATATAACACAAACAACAAAATAAAGAAACAATAATCCATAATAAACGAGAGGATATTTTGTACCCTTCATTGAATCATCTGTTGAACAATCAACCCCATAAACACCGGGAATGCCAACATCTTTAGTTTTCTTTCCAAAAACGATGGCTGCCGGCCAACATGTGAAAATTCCTATTATAATAGCTATAATGCAAATTCGTTTTGCCTTTTCTATTGTCATTTGTTTACCATATTTACATATCCGGTTATATCTATCTATAGCAACTGCCATTAACGTAACTATTGAACCCATTGTTGAAAGCGATTCTACTGTTCGTAGTGCCTTGCAAGCGGCTGGTGCGTAAAACATAATAGAATACCGAAGATCGGCAATTTCGGTCGGCATACCAATGACAACCGTCAACAGATCCAGTATTGCTAGATTAATTATAAAGTAATTGAGTGACGATTTGGTTTTCTTTCGAACATACACAATAATAACGAGAACATTCCCAAATAATCCGGTAAATATAAGTAAGAACATGTAGATGATCACCGGCAGATATCGTAAGGCAAGCTTATCGTTCAGTGTCCGTAACAGTTCTTCTGCATTTGTAATATTTGGAGGAGAATTGGTGCTGCTTATTTCACTATTATTTACGTGCGACCATGACATATTGAATAATCTCCAATTATGTACCACTGATACATGTAAGGATATCAGTTAGATCACAAGTGCATCTGCATGTAAGGTAATATTTAACAAGTGCATCTTTCCGTTGTTAAACCGAAACGCTTCCTCCCACTGACTAAATATATATGCATACACCTTCCAAAGTTCATCTTGATAAACAGTGATTTGTGTGAATGCATATCAGTGTCTGTAATGTCGCATCCTTCTTATGTTGTTTTAATCTTTTCCAATGAAATATCCTTTTTCGTTAATAGTATGAAATAACCTTGTTTTTTTTTTGTATCCGGAAGTAAATATCTTAGTGTACATTTTGGTGATTGGATAGGAATTTTTATGGAAAATGAAACGGTAATATATGAATGATAGAAAATGTTTTGGTATACGTCAATGAGACAGCAATCCATCAACAAAAGTATGGGAAGAGAAAAAAAAAATAAAAAAATTGAAGTTTTGATGTTTTAAATTTTCATCCGACATATTAATTAATCAAGTCTATTTTTAAATTTATATTCCTAGTGATATAATATTTATAGAGTTAAGCACATACAAATTAACTTTGAATTCTGCATATTATAATGCTAAAAAGAGGCGAAATATAGAAAAGGACATGCAAACTCATTAGTAGCAAACAAACTGACATTGACATGGCAAAAAACGAAAAACGATCAAAAGACAAACAACAGTATACAAAACACAAAATAGAAAACCAAAGGCTGAGCAATACGAACCCCACCATTAACTGGGGGTGATCTCAGGCGCTCAGAAAGGGTTCTAAAAAAATCTTTAAATAACTACTTCATATTTATACATATATACTTTATTCATGTGAGATGTAAATGAATTGAACAATAGGAGTCTATTTATACCTTTGTTGGTTACACTTTTGATCTCATCGGGAGATCCTTTGTAGAAAACATTATCGACATTCTTGCATGTACTTTGTAGTTAAATATGTGCAAATATATATCGCTAGCAGTTTTAGAGATGAAGTTGCAAAGTGAGATGTATATGCCTACAATGCCACCCATCTGCCACCTGATCAACAAAAACGAGGAGCGTTTGTAGAGGGTCTCCAAAACATCAATTTCAGTCTTCAAAAAAATTTGACTTGTACTTTCGGAGAACATTTTTTGAAAATTTACAAACCACAATCAATGATTACATCCTGTGGCTTTGTAAGTCCTCCTGTCAGAACCGAAGGAGGACATTTTGTAAAGGACATTTTACACATCATTCCTGACAACTGCATTACAAATAAGCCTTGTTTTTTTCAAAGAAGATGAATAATTTATACAGTGCATTCCAATCGCTAATCCTATAAAAGTTTCAGAGATCGAGATGTTGCAAACTGTTCAATTAGAATCAATAATTATCTCTGGCGGTCTTGGTGTTCCTCTAATCAAACCCATATCAGGAGCGTAGAAGACTTTTCATACATTATTTCTTAAAGGATTGGTTAAAATTGAACACGCAGTTTCAGAGATATTGATACAAATGGGATTCCCTTTAGGGTATCAATAGGAAAAACATTTGCCACCCGATCATTATTTAAAAAATACATCAAACACTATTACAAATGTAGAAAGAAAGCGATAATCTGTACAAAATATATCTATTCATTTGTTTGACATTAAACCTAAATTGAAATAATCAAAAATGAGAACACAGATTCTAGTCAAAGTTTATCTACAATTTCTACTGAGGAAAAGATGGCTAGTGAAGATGTTCTCTTCATGGTAATCTTCTTTTCTAAAATTTATGTCAAAATGAACGACCTTTTCTTTACTATTGTTAATTCTTAGACTCCGACTTCAATAAAGGTACTAGTAGTTTTTTTATTACTTAATACACGGTCAAAACTGATACTGATTTCATTACAAATATAGAGATTTGGTGTAGATTTCCCCAAGTCTGCCATATTGTTAGTGATTTTCTTACGTCATATTTTCTTAACGTTTAAGAGAATTTGGTGTTGATGGCAAAGCTGGTTGTCTCTGTTTAAGTCAGTACCTTTATCGACTGTATGTTGACATAGCAACATGTCTATTGTTGAAACTTTACGTTGACCACTAGATGTATTGTAAAGGCACATGTCTATTGCTGAATACTTTACGTTGACCTCTAGATGTATTGTATAGGCACCTGTCTATTGTTGAATACTTTACGTTGACCACTAGATGTATTGTATAGGCACCTGTCTATTGATGAAGACTTTTCGTTGACCACTAGATGTATTGTATAGGCACATGTCTATTGTTGAAGACTTAACGTTGACCACTAGATGTATTGTATAGGCACCTGTCTATTGTTATAGACTTCACGTTGACCACTAGATGTATTGTATAGGCACCTGTCTATTGTTGAAGACTTTACGTTGACCACTAGATGTATTGTATAGGCACCTGTCTATTGTTGAAGACTTTATGTTGACCACTAGGTGTATTGTATAGGCACCTGTCTATTGTTGAAGACTTCACGTTGACCACTAGATGTATTGTATAGGCACCTGTCTATTTTTGAAGACTTTACGTTGACCACTAGATGTATTGTATAGGCACCTGTCTATTGTTGAAGACTTCACGTTGACCACTAGATGTATTGTATAGGTGCCTGTCTATTGTTGAAACTTTACGTTGACCACTAGATGTATTGTATAGGCACCTGTATATTGTTGAAGATTTTACTTTGACCACTAGATGTTTTGTATAGGCACCTGTCTATTACTGAAGACTTTACGTTGACCACTAGATTATTGTATAGGCACCTGTCCTGACCTCTAGAAGTACCTCTAGAAGTATTGTATATGCACCTGTATATTGCTGAAAATTTATGTTGATCACTGGATGTATTGTACAGGTACCTAATATTATTGAAGATTTTACGTTGATCACTAGATGTATTGTATAGGCACCGGTCTATTGGTGAAACTTTATATTGACCACTAGATGTATTGTACAGGAACATGTCTATTGTTGAAACTTTATGTTGACCTACTCCTGTTTGTTCATGTCTAAATTATTTTTGAATACATTCTGGCTTGTGTGATTTATGCCCCCTAAAACAAGATAGGTGTATCTGCATTGGCCATTATCATTTATGACAAAAAAAGGACCAATTATTTCAATTTGTTTTAAGTTTTGAACGGGATATACTTGTGTAAAGGTTGGTAAAGCTTATATTCTATTGCAAGAGGAAAGAGACTAAAATTGTATTTACGGTAACAGATCTTTTGAATTGTTTAGTATCCATATCTGATTCTTATCGCTCCAATGGAGTAGGAAGTTACACAATAACTATGACGCCCGTCTTTGATTGCTGATAAAATGGATGGTAATAATAATTTAGAAAGAGGTTTCGTGGAGCAATTGGAACACTCAGCAATATACTGTAAACCGGGAAAAGTTCGCGCCGTCTTTATTTCTCGATTTACCAACTAAATCTTTATTCGCGCCGTTTTGAATTCGAGATTTGTAGGAGGCCTTTACAAAATTTAGTAAACGATTTTAAAATGGCATAGTTGTACATGTATCGTAAAGCAAGTGCTGAAAATCGATCATGACCCTTTTTGTCTAAACAATGTGTACATTTTTTGTAGGTTCATTGATGTACATGTAGATTTCAAGTTATTTGTGAATTGGCTTATATGAGTACAAGTAAACCGCTACATTTATGTTTACTTGTAAAACCACATACACTATTACCATAATAGAATGCTTTCAAATAAGTAAGATCGAATTGAAAGCTGCGAGGAACACGGATAATTAATCAATGTTAAGATCATATTAATAAGTGTAGCAGATTTAAGGGGGTACTCATTGCTGTTCAGAGTCATTTTTCCTCTTACCACATGCATCTCTGTCAATACTATGATGTCGAAAATGAGAGGCACCAGGAGAGGCCACCAGAGATCATTAACATATAAGAGTCAGACATGACATGTTGGACAGAATTACAAAGTAAATAACAAGCAAAGTCAAGAGGAGACAATTCATATACAATAAAACAAAATCAAGTATATCTATATTTATAACAATATCAATAAACATCATAGGTAGCAATTTTATGATGCACACAAATCACTGTCCAATTGTGATGTGCATCAACATCTTATTAATTATATATGAATTATTATATGGCCTTAAATGAGTACAAAAATGATGTTTTAATCAATTTCCATTTACTCTCAAATTTCTCTCTAGCTTTAGGTGATCTGTAAAAGGAGGTAGATATATTTTCTATTTGGTAGGTATTTTTGATCATAGCTATCGCACCTGTAAGAGTTGGTAATGAAGTGTTAAAGCGACATGTATAAATGTAATACTTAACCAGAACAGTGAATAAATTTAGGGAAACATCCCATGACTCTGACCCAAGAACAATATTTTTTGCATTTAATATTAAAGTTAAATTACATTTAAATTGAAAAAGTGCTGAAAATTCTATCCATATATTTCTAACTCGAGTACATTCCAAGAAAAGATGACTAATAGTTTCAATGATGAACATTTTTCACGCAAATATAGATTACGCAAATTGGATAAAAAAATTCGCTTTTATAATGATTAAAGTGGTTTATCAGCTAACGATTTTCTAATTTAAAACATGAATAAAAAACAATGAACCTTAATTTTAACAGGTAGGTAGGGGCGTACAATGGATACTCGTCAGGAAATTACAAAGATAGACATCGAATTTCCGGACTACATTCTGAAATATTAGTTTATTTACGTCCTTACGCATACAATCATAAAAGATACATTTTTACAAATGATAGATATAAGAAGATGTGGTATGAGTGCCATTGAGATAATTCTCCATCCAAGTCACAATTTGTAAAAGTAATCCATTATAGGTCAAAGTACGGCTTCAACACGGAGCCTTGGATCACAACAAACAGCAAGCTATAAAGGCCCCAAAAATTACTAGTGTAAAACCATTCAAACAGAGCCTATTTATACGGGTTTATTAGAGACCATAACTACGAGAATAAAATATACATACATTAAAGGGTAAAGAAAAATCTTAAAAATATATATCATAGTATTACAAATTAAAACTTCTCAGCTACTTTTCAAAATGAAATTATAGGTTTTGGCACATAATCTAAAAAGCGAATAAGAATACTATAATTGAGCAATAGGTTGTATTCATAAAATGTGCATCAAATTCAATAAATGTAGTACAAAGACTTCAACAAAATTTAAACAATGTAAGAAGCATCTCTCTTCCAGTGATAACATTTCGTATCTCCAAGTTTCCAATCTAATAGTTGCCACCCTTTATCTAAATTTTAATTTTAGCTAAATGACTTCTATTACTAAAAGGCGTTAATAGTTTACAAGAAGTTTCAATATAATCTAAACTTGTTCCACACTTCAACCTATCTGGTAGAATATGAGTCTATATTAGTCATTTCCAGTCATCAATACATTTATCAACAATCTTGTTTCTTGATTTGTTTCTGGAGAGAAATGCCGTGTTTGTAAAATCAAAACCAAGTCAAACTTATACCTTATAATTCCAACTTTGTCGACTGAGGTAGAATAAGTTATTTAATAAGCAAACGATCTCTTACTGTCAAATACCTCGGAGCGTAACCTTTTTAGACTATTTGTTTTCCAAAACATCGTGTTTTTTTGGAAAATATTTGTTTCACATCTCTTCTGAACTGAACATTCATAAAACTATAGATGGTCGGATTCACAGAATTATTGATGAAATACGACTTTGAACAGAATTTATAAAATACGTCTGCTGGCTCAGACAAATTATTCTCAAAATGTTTGATAATGTATCTAATTAACATTACTGTTAGAAAAGGAAGAAAGCTGAGAACAAAAACGATGGTGACAATCCCTAGCATCAAAGTAGTTTTAGCACGAATTTTGTGTGGAGATTTATTCTCTTCTAACTTTTGATGAACACAGTCTGTTTGAGTTTTATGTTTTTGTATTTCCTTGCCATGATTTTGATCATTTTCGATATCTGTAAAAGAATTTTTTGCTGTCGAAGACTTCAGTTCATTTGTTTTCTTTAGGTAAGGATTTTCTGATATGTTTCCTTTCTTCTTTTGCCTTCTGATAAACAGAATGATTTTAGTGTAAATTACTGTAAAAAATACAACACAGACAACAAAATAAAGAAACAATAATCCATAATGAACAAGAGGATATTTTGTACCCTTCATTGAATCATCTGTTGAACAATCCACCCCATAAACACCGGGAATGCCAACATCTTTTGTTTTCATCCCCAAAACAATGGCTGCCGGCCAACATGTAACAATTCCTATTACTATAGCTATCACGCAAATTCGTTTTGCCTTTTCTATTGTCATTTGTTTACCATATTTACATATCCGGTTATATCTATCTACAGCCAATGCCATTAACGTAATTATAGAACTATTTACTGACATCGATTCTACTGTTCGTAGTGCCTTGCAAGCAACAGGTGCGTTAAACATAATAGGATACCGAAGATCGACAATTTCGGTCGGCATACCGATGACAACCGTCAACAGATCCAGCGCTGCTAGATTGATGATAAAGTAGTCGAGTGACGATTTAGTTTTCTTTCGAACATACACAATAATAACAAGTACATTCCCAAATAATCCAGTAAATATCAGTAAGATCATGTAGATGATCACAGGAAGGTACCGTAAAGCAAGCTGATCGTTCAATGTCCGCAACAGTTCTTCTGAATTTGTAATGTTTGTAGGATAATTGGTGCTCATCATTTCAGTGTTATTTACCTGCGACCATGACATATTGAAAAATCTCCAATTATGCACAGCTAATATATGTAGGTATAGACTACATGTGCGTCTACATGTAAGGTTTTGTTACTATCAGATTGACCACAAGTGCATTTTTCCTTTGTGAAACTGAAAACTTATTCTCCCACTGACTTTTTATTTATAAATCAAATCAAATATTTATTATTCTGATCAAGGTCCAACAGGGGGCGCAGTTACAAGCAGCAGTTATGATTGCAATGTAGATGCATAGACAATTTAAACAACACACATCATGCATCATACAATATAATATAATATAATATGACAGATATTGTAATAAAAATTAATAAAATGCAAACTAAGTACAATTGGATTGTTATGTCAAGCGATGCAAGTCGGGTTCAGATCAACATAATTATCATTAAAGATGTATACCGTTATAAATAACTTAATTTATTTTAGAAGAATACAAATTAAAATAAGTAAGAGTATGGTGTTCCGCTGCAAAAGACATATAGGGACAGTGCATCAGAACATGTATAATAATTCTCCTCGTGTCTAATGCAGATGTGCACACTTCCTTTGTTTTTTTGTAACATCTTTATTAGCTGATGTAAAGTTGTGGATCTGCAGAAGACACCAAGGAGAGATGCTTCTGGATACACTGATACAATTTGTTGCAAAGTAATCCTCCTCATGTCAGAATCAGATCAAAAACAAAAACAAAAACAAAAAACAATCAGCGAGATAATAGAATACTATCATTTTTTAAAAATTTTCTTTTGTTGTATCAGAGTAGTAGAATAGTATTGAAATGATAACTGGTCATCTGCAAGAACCATGGGACAGTGCTCTAGGATATACTGTTGATGACGATAGACAGCGCTCTAGGATATACTGTTGATGACGATAGACAGCGCTCTAGGATATACTGTTGATGACGATAGACAGCGCTCTAGGATATACTGTTGATGACGATAGACAGCGCTCTAGGATATACTGTTGATGACGATAGACAGCGCTCTAGGATATACTGTTGATGACGATAGACAGTGCTCTAGAATATAGTGTTGATGATGATAGACAGCGCTCTAGGATATACTGTTGACGATAGACAGCGCTCTATGATATACTGTTGATGACGATAGACAGAGCTCTAGGATATACTGTTGATGACAATAGACAGCGCTCTAGGATATAGTGTTGATGACGATAGACAGCGCTCTAGGATATACTGTTGATGACGATAGACAGCGCTCTAGTATATACTGTTGATGACGATAGACAGTACACTAGGATATACTGTTGATGACGATAGACAGCGCTCTAGGATATACTGTTGATGACGATAGACAGCGCTCTAGGATATACTGTTGATGACGATAGACAGCGCTCTATGATATACTGTTGATGACGATAGACAGTGCTCTAGAATATACTGTTGATGACGATAGACAGTGCTCTAGGATATACTGTTGATGACGATAGACAGCAACAGCAATCTTCTTCGTGTCAGAAGCAATAAAAAAAAACCTGTAATATTTACAATTAAAAAAAAATAAAAAAGTAATGACAATAGCTGCCGGAGTGATTTTTTTGTTTGTATTTCTTAGTTGACGTACTTGTAGTTGTTTGTTTTTATAGTGATTAAGATTATAACACAATGTTGACTGCTCTTCTCCAATTTTTATTTTACATTTTTACCTATTATGTCTGTTTGTTTTGACACATTATTGTCAATATAATGGAATTCTATGCGACTGTCATACTTCTATGCGACTGTCATACAAGTGACTAAAACCAGGTTTAAATACACAATTTTCTACATAAGGAAATGCCTGTACCAAGTCAGGAATATGACAGTTGTTTTCCATTCGTTTGATGTGTTTGATCTTTTGATTTTGCCATTTTATAAGGGACTTTCCGTTTTGAATTTTCCTTGGAGTTCTGTATTTTTGTTATTTTACGTTTGTCTTTTAAATCGGCTATCTGCGATTTTTATTCAAAAATTGACATAGCTCTTTAACACGACAGAGTTCACACAAGACAGCAGCCATCCTAATTTCTCATGGGAATTTAAGTGAATGAAACTAGGACACTATGTGATATATTTGCTGTCAGTTCTTGATTTCCTTGAGTAAACAAAGCTTGTTTTTAAAATGCTATTAGATATTCTGTGACAAAGAGGTGGAGTCTAAATTTTCCCGTCGCAGCCAATAATTCAAAATAAATTTGACCATGTCAAAAGTAAAATGGAAACCGACCCAATGTAGATAGGGCTGCAAAGTTAGTTGTTTTGTGCACACCCGAAATGATTTTACAAAATTTGCTGTGGAACTTTTCGCAAGTTAAATTTGAATAAAGTCTAACATTTGTTTTTGTCAGTTTTTATGGACTGATCCTTTTTGAATTTACCTTCGAGTTCGGTATTTTTGTTAATACTTTTTTTAATTATTTGTCTATTGTTATAATGGTTCCAGATCTTAATTTTGCCACGAAGGAATGAAAAGAGCTCCAAATTTCATTTCAATAAAGTGAATAGGCTTAATAGTATGATAAACAATACAGGTAGCTAGTTTTTAAGCTAGGATTTAAAGATTAGTAATCTTTTCTCATTTTGAAATATGCTATCAAACCTTTCTTGAACAATTCATTCTGAGCATAAGAGAATGTGCCTGAAGAAATAAAATACACGCATAGATATGTACAATGTAATACACTCCAAACTAAGTTCATTTTGATAAACATTGATTAGTGTGAATGCATATCAGTGTCTGTTATGTCGCTTCCTACAAAGTTATGCTCTTTTCCATCTTTTCTGTTAATTGTATGAAATAAACTTTTGTTTCTATATCAGGAAGTAAATAACTATTTTTCTAAACTTGACGTATTTATATACACCTGGAGTCGGTTTCACCAAAAAACTTACGACTAAGATTGATCGTAAGTCATGAACAATTCAGTGTATATATTTACGATCAATCTTAGTCGTAAGTTTTTTTGTGAAACCGACTCCAGTCTTTCAATGGAGACTAACTGTTAACCTCTAGATGTCTTTTTGTTATTTTTGTCGTCGGGTTGTTGTCTCATTGACATTTAATCACAAAATCATAGTAATATACCCTACAACTCAAGAGGTAGGTGTGTATGTTAAAATGTGTAAATGGTATTTTGTTTAAATCAAATACTTTAAAATTAATGTTGTTTCGACGCCAAGCACACATTATTTAGGAGTGAGTGTAACAGTGGTTTGATTCCGCCAGTGTACTTTATCCGGAGGAAGAAAATCCCCAGTGATTTTTATCCACCAACAAAAAATCACTATGGTTTTCTATCCGGGTCCAGTGTAAAACATCCACCAGTCATTATATATATAAGGTTCTAAAAAGGTTTTTTTGAAGGGGAAATATATATAAAATGTGGCTTAATAGTTTTTTAGTGTATTTGAAAATTGCATAGTTGATTTATGTAAAAAGTGGCGAGTTTTCATCCAAGGAATGTTCACACTAGTGTGTTTGAACCAGGAATGATTACACTAGTGATTTTGTACCGGAATGATTGCACTAGTTATTTTATACCCGGCGGGATTAATTACACTAGTGCTTTAGATCCATTCATTGATGAAGTGATTAGTACTCATTTTGAACACACGATAACACAATAATGCTTATTAACGATTGAGATTTAAATAATTTTTCTATGCAAATCTATAAAATCATATGCTTTTAAATTGTCACTAATTGTAATATTTATATTTATTGGAATTGCCGAAGTTTTTCTATGTATTTGCTTTTCGGTCGACTTGGATATTAAATCATATCTTCTATATCAATATCAAAGGATGCTTCTGTAATTGAAACTTTATGTAAGAACAAATCTGCTCTTTAAATTTGGTTTGTATCAAGTTCAATGTCCTGATCATTGATAAAGTATTTTGAGTTATAAAAATATCCTCCTCATCATCATCAATATTATTTACTAGATTGACTCAGATTAATTAAACTGGTTCCTTGAAAATCATTTTAATTTTAACCCATTTATTTATGTAAACAATAAACCGGTCTAATATAAACAAAACAATGATATCAAGATCGACGCTTTCACACTATTTACATCCAATATTCTCTAGTGAAAAACAGTTACCCGGAATAAATACACGGCGGAATGAAAGTACGCTTACATGAGTACAGAAAGACGTTTTAACTGAAAGTCTAGTTAATGTGCCCAGGTAGGGCAAAATATTATCCTGTGGACTGTTAACGTTGCAAATCAGTCTATGCGTTTAGTCTAGTCCACATCACTGTATATTCATTTCTTAGTATCATATTTTCTTCCTGATTTATATGCCTCTATATACTACTAAAATAAAGAGGTCCAATTTGTTAGCCGGCATGACGTAAAAACGACGAATCAAAGAATTCAACTTTATATATAACTAATATACGACAATTGTGTTGTTTAAAAAATACACCATTCCAGGCCCTTTTGTTTTCCACATAATTAATAAATAATACCAATAATTAACAAGTTCCGGGTCGAATCCGATACCGATACCAATAGTATATATATGTCACATGTAGTTTCCGTTACCTGTTGCCTTCTGTAAATCCCTCCTCTATCAGGAGAACATGGAATTCTTCCAGTAGTTGTTTAAATCTATGTTAAACTATAGTACACTATTTAACAAGTCTGTTTTCTTTCCACCTCAATACCACAATTAATTTTGGTTAATTAGTTAAAAAAAATAATTTAGTTTATAGTAAGATTATTGTAGTAAGAAAACCAGGACGAGTTCAAACAGAAAGATTTTGAAAGCAGAGAAAAATGTGCATCTTACAATCAGCATGACTTTATCAGATGACAATACGAATACAAAAAATGCAGGCTGAAAATAAGGCGTAGGTACTTTAATTCAGTCAAGGACCCGCGAGTGTGTTCTAGTGTGATATATATTTGCCATGTGACATTTAGCATAAGTATGGAAAGCGAAATCAACACTTCAGAATTTTTTTTAATTTTACGGTTTCTGGAAATT